CACTTAGGAATATAAAATAAAATTTAAAAGTTTCAACCCAAAAAAAAAAAATTTATTTAATTTTTATTGATGTTCTATTTATTTAATTTTTTAAAAGTTATAGTTAAAAAATAAAATAAAATTTAAGAAAAAATTCATTTTACCTCTTTCAGTGTGTGGCCAGAGCATTTTACCCTCCATGGTTCAAATATTGTTAGAAAGCTCTTATGTGGTTTTGGGTTAAAGTGTAACCCTTAACATCGTTAGCTGTAAATGTGAAATGACTATAATACCTTCAAACCTATACTTTTTTTATTTTTTATTTTTTATGTTTTGGTCTCTCATTTCATACACATAATTCATAATATCTAACATTAATTCAATTAAGTCACATTTAATTATAAATTTTTAATTATTTATTGTAATCCTTAACTTTTAATTCTAGTTTTATTTAATTATATTTTAGATCACTCCTAAATATTTAATTATTTATTGTAATTCCTAACTTGTAAATCTAATTTTAATTTTATTTTATTTTAGATCAAATTTTAATTATTATTTATTTTATATTTTTATTTAATTATATTTTAAATCAATCTATTTTATATTTTAGATTAATCCTTAATTATATTTTAATTTAATTTATTTTAATTAACATATTAATCTAATTTTATTTGAAGAAATGGGGGTAAAATTATCTTTTTGTTGTATTAATTTCACTTTATTTTTTTAGAAAACAAAACTCACTCTCAAAAATTGTGTTTGTGATACATATTCCGTTAGTTTGGGCAGAAAAACTAATGGCGATACTTTAATCCAAAATCACATGAGAGCTTTCTAGCTATATTTGAACCATAAAGGGGTAAAGTATTCCAACCCCAAAATATGAAGGAGTAAAATGAATTTAACCATAAAATGTATAAGTTAGATTTAATATTTCTATTACTTAGTAAACAATGCAAAAGAGAAAATAATCTTTTGAACATTTATTATTTTTCATAATATCGAAACCAAACATATTTCAATAAGATAGTCATTTTCTGACATCTAATATCATGATTAAACAAACATGGGATACATATCATTTCTAATCAAATGGTCCATGGACTATGTACATTATAGGATTAATAGTTCAATAGATTATAATCCCTTCTTTTTCAGTTTGTCCAAACAAACATGTCCTACGTTCTCTAAATTTTATCTCAAAAATAAAATAAATGGTATACATTTAAAAAGAAAAATGTTATAGTACACAACCCTCAAAAGATGTGTACCACATTCTGTGTTGCACATTTTTGTAGTGTGTTACACATTTTTATGGTAAATATTACGTATTTTTCTTAGTAGAGTATCAACAATTTTTAGATAAAAAACAAGATTACACATTTTTGTCTTAATGTTCCATATTTTTTTTGTTAGAAAATATTTGGATAAAAAAATTTATAATATTATCACAAAAATAATAATTTTTTAAATAAATATACACTAGTGTAGAAGGCCCACTCAAGGTCCGGGCTACTATGGCCTTTGATTCCAATATTTTATTGAGTTTACTAAATGAAACAAAATAATATGAACTTTTTTTAAATATTTATTTTATGTTTGATCCACTCAAAAAATAATAAAAATACATTGAAAAAGAAATAATAATTATTCCATAAAAAGATAAAAGAATAATCATTTCATTCTATTACACCTCCTTTCATTCCACTACTTGAACTTTTTCTCCAAAAATAAGATTATTTTCATATGAAATTGAATAGAATAAATGATTAAATATACGGTAGAAATTTTAATTTCTATTAAAAGGTACAATTATAGAATAAAAAGATGAGATAAATTTTTTGTTCAAATAAGTGAATTTTTTTTATTAAGTTTGATTATGATGGAATAATCGAATAGTAATCCTACACGCCAATGATAATGTGGTATCATCGTTAAATTTTGATTTGATTTGATTTTAAAAAAAATATATTTTTAGACCCGTGCATGGCACGAATTATTATTATGATAAATTTAATTTTTAAAATGCAAATCTTCTAAGACATTATTCTATTTGATTTGATTTTTTAAAAATTATTTTTAAATGACTTTTCCTTTGCTTTAATAAATTTTTATATATTTTATTCAATTTTTTTTTAGCATTTTAATTCCAGATACATCTTAATTGGTTAATCTATTGAAAAAAAGGGTAAATTACAAACACACCCTAAGGTTTGCTTAAAATATATATTGCCCCATCCAATTTAAAAATTACAAATACTCCTGTCAAAAAAAATTATTTAACAGAATTAATTAAAAAAATAAAATTTTTAATTGCTCTACTCCATAATAATAAAATTAATTGAATAAATTTTTGACATTATTAAAAATTATTAATTGACTTGATGATTTATTAATAAAAGGGATTATTTGTTATGGAATTAGAAATTTCAAGGGATGGGATGTAATTTTCAAAATCACATGGAACAATTCGTATTTTAAGCAAAACTCAGGTGGTATATTTGTAATTTACCTTAAAAAAATCACTAAAAATAAATGAAAATCTAAACAAAGTTAAAATTTTTTATTTTGTAGTTAAATTTTTTCAATCTTTTTAAATGTATCTAATTTTGATGCATCTAAAAAGTTTTTTTTTTTTTTTTTAAGTGAGAGACTAAAATATAAAAAATATGATCAATTTTATTAATAAATAAATTATGATCGCATAACAAATGATTCATTTTATTAATAAATAAATTATTAAGACAATTAATAATTTTTAATAACATGAGAAATATTTCTCAATGAACAATTTTGATAATTTTATTGTTGTAGAGGAGAGTAGTTAGAAATTTCATTTTCTTTGTTTGTTCTGTTAAATTTAAAATTGTAACAAGAGGTAGTTGTAATAAAAAATATGATCAATTTTATTAATAAATAAATTATGATCGCATAACAAATGATTCATTTTATTAATAAATAAATTATTAAGACAATTAATAATTTTTAATAACATGAGAAATATTTCTCAATGAACAATTTTGATAATTTTATTGTTGTAGAGAAGAGTAATTAGAAATTTCATTTTCTTTGTTTGTTCTGTTAAATTTAAAATTGTAACAAGGGGTAGTTGTAATTTCTAAAATTATAGAGGCAATTTATATTTTAAACAAATCTTAAGGGTATATTTACAATTTATCCAAAAATAAATTTTTTATATTTTATAACTAATCAAAATTCTTTACATAATTATAAAAAATCCTTCATTCAAATTAGGCTAGGTTTGGTATCTCCTAAAAAAATTAAAAAATTAAAAAGTTACTATCTTATTTAAGTCACATTACCTCCCTACCACGTCACTTTAAACCCAACTTATATTCCATAAAAAATAAAAAAATATACTTATTTAGAACATTTCAAACAACCTCTTAGTCCCATCAATATTGATAAATAATATAACAAAAAAAAGTAAGATTGAAAAGTCAAGGTACAACCCGCCATTGGTAAATAATACCGAACCAAAGTAAAAAGTAGTAAAAATAAAAAAGTAAGCCCAATGCGCCTCTTATTAGTATAGATATTAAGTTCTCAAAAAGAACGAAAAAAAAAAACAAAAAACAAAAAACAAATACAGGGCAATTGCGGTAAATTAAGGTATTATTTGACATTCTTTATAATAGCATATATTTTTTATTATTTTATTTTTTTGAGTCATATTACTTATTTATTTTTTTGTATATTTTTATAAAAAATAAAAATATATTTATTTAAATTATATATATATATATATACATACATATAATATTGTTGCACATGCTTCAGCTAACACCACGCCACTTCCCAATCGAACCACCATTCTCACTTTCGTTAGTCAACCAAAACCCATGGTCTTGTTTGGTTTATTAAAATGAATTAAAATAAAATGTAATAATATTTTATTTAATTTTTTTATGAAGGATTATTTTTTATAATAGTGAATAATAATTATATTTGTAATATATTCTTCATTATTTTTTTAACAAATCAAACATGAAAATAGAGATTTGGGTGAAATATTCATACTATTACGTTTCATTTTAATAAATCAAATATTATCTTAGTGTACTACCGTTACATTATTGGAGGTGGATTTCTTTCAATCCATAATCTTTGAACGACGTTGTTTAGTGAATTTGTGTATATATACATATATATTAGGGTGTATATATACAAATTGAAAACACTTGTAAATATATATTAGGGTATGCATTTGGATCTCTGTATATATATATATATTTGTATATGATAAAAAATACTTTGTAATGTTTAAATTTAAATATTATCAGCTCCATAACTGTAACATTTATATAATATTCATTAGACAAATAAAAGATTAAAATTTAATCGATTATAAAATTTGAATAGATATTTGTACAGAGTTGGAAAAACACATGTAAAATTTGTTTTTCTATTGATCAGATGATGATGATGATGATGATGATGATGATGATGATGATGATGAGATGGAAAATTTGCACAGATAAAATTTGGATAGATAGAAAATTTGCACGGAAAATTTTTGAATAGATAGAAAATTTACATAGAAAAAATTGAACAAATAGATAAAAAAAAAAATTGAACAGATATATAAAAAAATTGAATAGATAGAATATAATTTGAAAAGATAGTTAATGAAAGTCAAATAGATAAAAAAAAATAAAAAAAAAGCCCATGGGTAAAATTAAAAAAAAAAAATGTCTTTTAGGATTTCTTACCAAATTATTTCACAAAGTGTGAATATCTCACCAATTAAAAAAAAAAAAAAAAAAAAAAAAAAAAAAAAAACTCTCGCACACCTTTCACTACAAGAAAAATGAATTTTAGCGACGTAATATTTAACGACGTTTGTTAAACGTCGCTTTTTTAAAAATCAAAACGGCACCGTTTCAATAACCAGAGGCGTTTGTGAACGCCTTTGAATGTTATATATATACTAGGGATAACCCGTGCCTAAAGGCACTGTGAACAATTTTTGTTTGATACGTGCTACAAAATTCAATTATAATAAATTAATTTAAAATGGCAATATCACTTCAATTTAAAATTTCACATAAAACAGGAACAAAAAATATAAAGAAAATTGAAATAAATAACTAATAAATTTCAAATTTTTTATTTTCTAATGAATTTATCATGAATGTAGGCTTCCCACCTCATTCACATAATTGGGGTGACGTCTTCAATAATTCCCACCTCATTCTCTAACATATTTTCAAAATCAGCCCTATTTAATAAATAATTCAAATCAATCAAATAAAACATCAAATCAATAGGAATACTTCAAATCTTTCAAACTTTTTCACAGTTTCAACTAACTACTTATAAATAAATGAAATAACACTAACCCAAGTTACTTTAAAGACTAACCTTATTGTTAATACCAGAATATCATGGATGATACAACAAATTCAAGCTAATTTTACAACCAACTGTGTTGGACAGTCAGAGGTCTTGAAAAGAAAAATGAATTCAGAAACAAACCATGAAAATTCATAATCATGATAGAGGGGAGGGGGAACTAAAGTATATAAAAATTAAGAGGCAATAATACTATAACATCTTCCTCCAACCCACTAATAAATTATTCCTGCACAATAGACACTAAATTTTCACAAAAATCAATGTCAACCATACGTGACTTCCACCAAAATATGCAAAGATACTAAATTTAGTGAATTTTCAAGGGCACTTTACTGTCTACACTCAATAACCATCCATAAGGTCTAATCTTTTACATTGATAAGACACTTTGCAAAAATATTAGAAATTCAATGAAGCACATATTAGTAGGAAGCTTTACAAAAGTGGTTAACATGAAGGATATACTTTACAAAATATTTGTCATCTTTACAAAATGTAAGCCGTATAATGTCTTCAAACTTGTTCTTTTACAAAAAGTACTTGGCCACCTCTAAAGCGCTTCGACACCTTCAAACTTGTTCTCTATCACATTTTGAAATGTCCATGTATCAACTTATGTGTACTTTTTCCAATGAAGAGCATGCACAACAATCTAATATTTAAAAAACAATAACATTAGCATATTGAAACAATACAAAAAATAAATATTGAAACAATATGGACCAATATACCTTATTACAATTCCATCGGAGCAATGTAGTCTAGAAGCTATGAAATTCAAACTCTAAACAATTTAATTCAAACTCTAAACAACCAACAAATAATTTATTCAAATCAAACTCAACCACCCCAACCTCACAATTCTAGAAGCTATGAAATTTTTCTCTATTTTTTTTCAATAATTAGACACCCAGAAAAGTCACCAAAAAAAAAAAATGTAATTATTGGAAAAATCCAAAAACCAGCAAATTTGGCTATCCAAGCCTATAAACAACAATTCCTATTTAGCAAAGTTGAGAGCTCTATCCGCTAAATAACAATTTCCAACAACACATAAAACATATGTTAAAAAACTTAAATCCCATCCCATATCCCAAAAATGTCTGATTTCCTAAGAAGAGAAAACAACAAAGAAAAACAACCCATTTTCATTATTCATTCATAATCAACAATGATTCAGGATACAACTATAACCTGCTCAATCCATTTCAAAAGCATAACAACAAACTAAGCATCACTGTAACAATGCAATAAATATATATATATATATATATATATATATTTAAAAGGTTGAATGTAACAATCAATCTTCAAAACAAACTAAAATAGATATAAAATGACATAAAATGAAATGAGATGATGAGTGTTGAAGGTGGGGGTGGGGAGAGGGCTTCGAGCAAAGGAGTTACATATCAGAGCCGTTGGGGTGGGGAGTGGTTTTTTTGGCTAAATGTCATATAAGACTCTGTATTTTCCTACCTCTTCATTTTGGTTTTCCCCTTTGGCTTGGCACACTTTCAACTTAGAGCACGAAACTCATCATTTTTGCAATATGCATTCATCGGACTGGACCAAACAGTTGCATATAGTTCTCTAGTTGTGTGTAAACTTGGTCTTTTATCCATTTCTTGAAAAACCAATGTTTTTGACATAAGGTTATATTAGTTCCTAAAATCAAAGGGCTTAAGTTTTGCTATTCTTTAATACATACTTTGGTTTTTTATAACCAAATACAATTAAAAAATAATATAAGCAAAAAGCCACAACTATATAAGAAGCCAAAATGCAAGACAATCCATTTCAATTATTACAATCCAATTTACCGGATTAATAAATGATACCGATCATTGAAAGTAGAAAAATGAAAGAAAAAAATAAGAAAAAAACAACCCATCATTGGATTATTAATAGGAAAAACAGCCCCAAAATGTCTGATTTCCTGATTAATCCCTAAAATCAATCAATTTCAATTATAACTTGCTTAATACAATTATAAACTGCTTAATACATTCATAATCAAAAGCATGAACAACAAAATGATTCATAAATTATAACCTGCTTAATACAGATTTATGGATAAATAATTCAAAAGCATGAACAACAACAATGTAACAATCAACAACAATAATGGAATTAAATTGTTTAAAAGGTAGTTTAAAAGAATTAAATTGGAATTATATTTAAATGAAAAAAAAGAAAAAAGTAAAAGTATATTTCATTCATATTTTACTCACTTTTTTTCTTTTACCTTTCCAAATCTCTACATAAAACCATGATTTAATACCCTTAATAGATTCATACAAAAGAACTATTGTACTGAACTTTATAGCTAATCCACATAGATTACATTTTCTTAAACAAAACGAAGAAAATCTACAGTAGGGATGAGGTTGCCAATTAAAGCAAGGTTTTAATTTTAAAATTGTTGATCAGTCATACACTCAGATACTTTGATTAAGGCAAGAAAGTGATGTCCTCAACTTTGATTATGTTCACAAATTAAACTTGCAACTCAGTTATTGCTCAATCACTCTTCTTGGATATCTAAACAAAAATCAAAATTAAGCCTAACAAAGATATCTAAACAAAAATCACAAATTGAACTTGCAACTCAATTATTGTTCAATCACATAGGTTATCTAAGCATCCCTTCAAGAAGATTTCAAACAACCATATTATGATTGTCGATTTGCTCCGGTTTCCACTGGCCTTCTAGCTAAAGCAGAGGAGAAGAATGGTGTTTTCTATCCAACAAACTTCCTTTGCCAACTAAGCAAACTCAAGAGTAGTTTTATATAATGCTGCAGCTAATAGATTGTAGTTTAAATTCGAAAAGTTTTCTTTACTTCTTATCCAACAAACTTCCTTTGCCAACTAAGCAAACTCGAGAGTAATTTACACGGTGGGACATGATTTTAGGAGAGAAGAGGCAGAAAAAAAAAAAAAAGAATTTGCAACAAATCTTTTTACTAAGCAAAGAACTCGCGTTGAAGACCTGGAGCACATCTTATTACAATTATTTGTAATTATTTATGAAACAAACAATAGAAACCAATACGGTAGATACAAACCAAACTGTAAAAAAAAATAAAAAATGTAGTGAATCAAACCAGAATATTCACATTAAAATGTATTAATAAAAAATTGTCCATGCCTACAACACTACTGATATTTCTAGTGAATCGTAGGCAAAATTAATTATCTCATGGTAGCTACTAAAAATTTTAGGTGTATTATGTACAGACACGAAAAATTATTGGTTCAAAAGATTGGTATTACTGAAATTTGTTTTTTTTCTATAAATTAAAATTAAACAAAACTAAGATAAGCAATATAGAGTAGGAATGAGGTTGTCAATTAAAATTTTATTCAAGTCTAAGCATATGCCTAAAAAAAATAATAAAACACAAAAATCAAAAAAGGAATCTTAGTCAATAGTTTAATTTTTTAATTTAGAATTTGTTGATCAGTCATGCACTCAGATACTTTGAATAAGGCAAGAAAGTGATGTCCTCAGTTTTGATTATGTTCACAAATTAAACTTGCAACTCTGTTATTGTTCAATCACTCTTCTTGGACAAATGATGGATAAACAAAAATGATGACAGGTTATCTAACAAATATATACATAACAAAGAAAAACGCAAGAATGATGATTACAGAGGTTATATACTCTATATACTCTAACTAATCATTATGATTGTCTATTTGCTTTAGTTTCCATTGGCCTTCTAGCCAAAGCAGAGGAGAACAAAACTACTTTGCCTTGTTCACCAACTAATAGATTGTAGTTTAAATCATGAAAAGAGACATGAAACCATATAAGTTCACCAACATTTTTCTTTACTTCTTTTACGAAAAAGTTATTGAACCCATTAAATATAAATCTTTAGAGAGAGAGAGAGAGAGAGAGAGAGAGAGAGAGAATTACCACAAATCAAAGATGTAGAGCATGTGTTGGTCTTCAAAATCAAAGAATCATGGAAGTCAGAAATTATTGAATCAAGAGAGAGAATTACCTTTTATTGTGTGTGCACCAATAAAAAAAAAATTATATTTATGACAAAGTATGTTTTAGATGAAGTTTAATCTCAGTTTTTTCTTTTTTTGCGTGTGTGTAAATTCCATTAAAACATTTTAACAAAGACTTAATAAGCAAGGAAGATAGAATGGTTATCAAATATTTTAGTAACAACCAAACGATAATAAGGGCACAACAACCATTCAATAGAGTAACTCAATACAATAGTCCCACAAATTCCTACTAAATCAAAGTAAATGGGTTTCGTGGAACCCAACTAACTCTTTATATATGTGTGTATATATACATAGATAATATATATGCATAAGAAAAATCAACAAAACCCATAAAAATATACCCAAAATCCTACATGCATCTAGAAAAAAAACAAAGGGAAAATCCTCACAGTTTGATTTTGGAAAAAAAAAAAAACTGTAATCAATATATATATACACACAATAACCCCCATTTGATTTGATAGAGAGTGAGACTTTGTTGGTGATGGTGGGGATGATGGGATGAAAAAAAAAAAAAAAAAAAAGAGTATCCAAATTTGTAGGGTCACCCATAAGTTAATTAGTGATTCCATTCACAAATAAATTCAGCACTAACAAAGTATCCTAATAGGGAAAAGATAAGTTAATTACTAATTCTATTCACAGATAAATTCAGCATTAACAAAGTATCCTAATTTCTAAAATTTTCGGCTGAGATCTAAGTATCGAAAATTGGAAAAGAAATTTTAAATCACAGTAAGGAAAATGAATGGGAATTGGTAATTATGATCAATGAGATTGCAAAAATAAAAAATGAATGGGAATGACTTTATCTCTATCCAATTGGTCATTTTTGACAATTGCTTTTCGTGTACAAAAAGCCTAAGTTCAAGTTTGATTTGTTTTTGTATAATTTATTTTTTTTTTATTTTGACCCATATTTTTTTTTAATGCATTCTCTCAGCTAAATTAATAATGTCCACTCTTAAAAAGATACACATCATTAGACATATATGAATTTTTATGATAAAAATTACCAATATTTGTGGTGTGTTAAAGTTAATTTGTGGTAAAATTATAAATTACCAATGTTTGTGGTATGTTAAACCTAAGAGGTTTCGATCCCTGAACCCTTGGAGGGAGCACACCCCAAGGGGATCCAGACATACAACCACAACACTTCATATATATGAATTCGCCTTGCCTCAAACTTTTCTTTCCTGTTCTTTCCTGGAAGATACCCATCCATCCCCACGTTCCTCCCTCCTCAAAAACAAATCTAAAGCACTAAAATAACACAAAGAAAGCCGTCAAGGTCTCAATTTCTCTCAGTCATGCAGCACTCTATGGCAAGTAGTGCCCCAAACAACACACTTGCATTCCCATTCTTCAATGCAGTATTGTCCTGTCTCTATTCATTCCATTAATCATAACACTACCAATATTACATAGCTTAAATCACTCCTCACACTAAATAGGCAACCTTTTTCATTCTATGAGAAAAATCCATATATCCGCCTCCCCAATACCCATCCCAAATTGAAAACAAAAAAACAAATAAAGAAGTAAGCTTTAAAGTTAAATTCATAGTTTTTTTTAAAAAAAAATTATTAATAAAGCAAAATAGAAAGCTTAATTCTCTTTTCTTTTCTTTCTTTTTTTTCATTGCTAATAAAAATGAAAAATCAGGGACATACCAGTCGGAGACAGAGAAGGAGAGGCCAGTCAAAGGGTGCGGAGCTTTGGGAGGAGCAGGCTGAGGAGGTGGGAGGAGCTGAAACCTCTCTACGAAAGCCCCAAAGTCTTCTTTCACCACCTGCTTCAGCTTTCTCGTCATTATCAGTATTCCGGCCAACCCCAAACCCAGCAAAACCCATAGATTGGCAGATGAAGAAGACCCCATTAAATATAGATTATTGTTCGATTTTTATTGCTCAAAACAGAGAGTGGTAGAGAGAGGATAACAGAGCTAACAGTAGTGAAGCAGCACGAAGAAACCTAGCACTGGGGCCAGAGGCTTCAATTCTGAATTGTAAATCCTAGCACTGGGGCCAGAGGCCAGTCAAAGGTCCAGAAACTGATGAGGCCATGACAGCCGAATTTCAAAATCCTCCCTTCCAATCTGTGAGCCCTGAGAGTGAGAGATGACAGAGACAGCCGAATTTTGAATTTTGAATGAGAGAGAGAGAGAGAGAGAGCCAGCTAAGAATGTATATCCACAGTAGGATGTGAACAAACAATCTCAACCATTGAAAGATAATTTGTGTCTTGGACATTTTGTGGCGGTTGGATTGAATTAATCTAAGGGTTCACATTTTGACAAAGGAACAAAAGTCCCATCAAAATGAAATTTTTTTTGTTTAAATATGAGTATATGTTCTTGATTTTCACATAAAGATCAATAAATTACAATAAAAGAAACAAACAAAAAAAAATCAATAAATGTAAACAGATCAATAAATGTAAAAATCAATTAGATAAACCTCAGCTTTGTCCCTTCTTCTGATGGAGTCTTCATCGAACTCTGCCTCTCGAAGGCGTTTCCAGATCGCATCGTCACTGAGAGGGGTTTTCAAAACCCTAGAACCAGGTGTAATGCCCAATCGCCCCGATGCCACCATCCTGCAACTGTTGCTGAAACAAAATGGACTCCGCGAGAGGTCGCTTGCAAATGGAGCTTCCGATCTCTAATATCTCCTCTATGGGTCTGCATTTTGATATGGGTCTGTTGCCCTACCATGTCTTGAGATGAGGGATTGGGTCTCCGGCGAGGGAGAAGAGATGTGGTCGGTAGTCGTCAGTGTCGCGATGGCGGTGGTCATCGCAAGAGAAACGGAAGAGAGAAGGGAGAGAGATGCATCTGTGAAAGAGAGATGAGAAGAGAGAGAGAGTGATGATGCCATTTAAGTTTGGGCGGGAAATGGACACATCTCCACCATTGAAATTTAGATGAGGGAATGTAAACCATTGGATCAAAATGTATCTCACATACATTTTGATACATTTTTCAAAAACTTTTGTGCCTTATTATATAGATATATATGTGTGTGTGTGTGATAAAAATTACGCATATATGTAGAAATCACTCTATATTTAAAAACTTATGAGACATACTATATTACATGTGAAACCACATGAGAAGTAAAAATTTAGTAAAATAAATCGATGATATATAACAGCCTTCTTTTATTTTTTCAAAAACTCCAGATGCAAATTTTATTTATTTATTTATTTATTTTTTGCTATACAATAAGATTTGGAAGTATAAAAATAAATCACTCTATATTTAAAAACTTATGAGACATACTATATTACATGTGAAACCACATGAGAAGTAAAAATTTAGTAAAATAAATCGATGATATATAACAGCCTTCTTTTATTTTTTCAAAAACTCCAGATGCAAATTTTATTTATTTATTGATTTATTTATTTATTTTTTGCTATACAATAAGATTTGGAAGTATAAAAATAAATATAAAAAATATAAACATTTATTAGAATTAATATCAAAAGGCCTTATTTTAAAATTTTGCCTTAGACCACCATTTGAGCCGCCACTAAGCATTACATTAGATATATTTCACTATCATGCATATATGTATTGTGTTTATAGAAAAATTATTAAAAAAAAAAAAATAACTTCACTATTTTTTGGTTACAACATGGTCAAACCTAACTCAACAAAATTGAAAAACCCCAAATCCAAAGTTAAAACCCTTGTTTCTCAATTTCAATTGCAACTTCAAACCTAACATCAAAAGCCCCAAATTTTGAACGAACTTGCACTCTGTTTTGGGCTCTGTTTCCATTTTGGTGTTCTATTTTTAGTTGCCTTTTAGCCAACTTGTAACATCTTTGCTTTCCTTGGATTTGTGTCTCTATCATGAAAAAAAATTTTAAAAAAAAATCACTTTTTTTTTTTTTACAACAAAATAAATAAAATAAAGGAAATGATATTCACATTCCAGTTTTAGTATGTTACACACCATTTGTTTGACACCTAAGCAATAATATTTATGTATATTTTTTCTTCTTCTTATGCTTTTGTTTTATTTATGCAATAACAGGTATAGTGGAAAATATAGACAAAACTCTCAAGTTCATCCCAGGATTGTCGGCAGTCCCCGTGGACGACTTACTAGAATCGTCCTCGGAAACCTAGAATCACCGATTACTCGAATGCTTCATAACATGGGACTAAAGTTGCCAAAGGCTACAGCAGTGGTGCTGAACGCCTTCGAAGAGCTAGAGCCCGCCATCGCAAAAGATCTGAAGTCGAAGTTGCAAAAAGTGCTCCACATGGGCCCCTTAACCCTATCATCACCAGCCCCATCAGACTCCGATGAGACTGGCTGCCTCTCGTGATTAGACAGCCAAACCCACTTCTGTCATGTATGTTAGCTATGGCACCATAACCACCCCACCGCCTAATGAGGTTCTAGCATTGGCAGAAACATCAATTTCTAGTAAAGTTCTGTTCCTTTGGTCGCTCAGAGACCACTAGAGACACTTATTTTGTTGAAAACATGGTGGCATTTGGGAAAGCGGTTTCGTGGGCTCCACAATTGCAAGTTTTGGCCCATCCATCGGTTGGTGTGTTTGTAACGCTTTACGAGTGAAACTCTATCTTGAAGAGTATCATCGGGGGCTTGCCATTGATTTGTAATCCCTTCTTTGGAGATCAAACGTTGAATAGTCATATGGTACAGGATGCGTGCATTACAAGAAAAAGCACATTTTAGTCCCTAAAAGTCTGTTTTTAGTCGCCGAAAGTCTAGTGTTACTTTCAGCGACTAATTTTTTTAGTCGCCCGTTTTGTCGCGTATATATGGTCGCCAGAGGTATTGGCGACTAAAATTTTTTTAGTCGGCAAAAAATAGCTCTTTAGCGACCAACGACTTAGTCGCCAATAGTGATTTACACTTTTTAAAATCACACATTTAGCGACTAATCTTTTAGTCGCCAATAGTCCGTGAATCGCCGACTAAACCGTTCAGTCGCCCAAAATAAACACTTTTGACGGCTAAATTTTAGTCGCCAAAGGTGCTTCTGTGAAAAAAAAAAAAAAACCAACTTTTTCGTCCTCCTTTTCGAAACTTTTGGGGAACTTTATAAACTTTCATATGCATACTATGAAGCAGATTTTCCATGAAATTCTTATAACAATATTACTGAGTTTGAATCAATACTAAACACTTCATGTAGTGGGAATACTATATTGACCCGTATTAATATCTAGCTATATATATAAAAATAATTATTTTTATTCAATATAATTTATGTAAAAAATAAATTATTTACTAAAAAACAAAAATTAGATCACTTTTGGAGACTAAATATATTTTTTAGTAGCCAATTGTATAGTTTTGGCTACTAATTATATTTTAGTCGCTAAAAAAATTCATTCCCACCGAAAAACCTCCACTTTTGGCGACTAAACTGAAATTTAGTCGCCAAAGCCTCTACTTTTGGCGACTAAACTGCATTTTAGTCGGCAATTCTTGACTTTTAGCTACTAAATTTTTTTAAGTAGCCAAAAAGCTGCACTTTTGGCTACGAAATTGATTTTTGTCGGTAAAACACGTATAATCGGCGACCAAACTATTTTTTAGTCGCCAAAACCTACACTTTTATATATATATTTCTTTCTTATCAAGAGGCCAAAAAGCAATCATCTTTGAATGAAGACACTTAATTGGACAGGCTGAAATTTTATTTATATATAAGACTAATAGATAAAAACATTTTATTCAATGGCTCAACTAAAAAAATCATTATCCTAAGACGTTGTCAATATTAAAGCCTATAATTTTAGTTGCAATAATTGAAAATGAAAATAAATTTTAGATAAAAGATTCACAAATACAGAAAATTATTAAATGTTAATAAAAAACGGTTAAATATTATAAGTCTCTAATTAAAATTTTGCCTCAACCTTCTTGGGTTGCCCTTTCCCTTTGTCGGTCACTATAACTACGAAAATGTTGATTTGCTATTGTTATATATAAGTTTTAGACTTTGTTTGATTAGAAAAATTAATAGTGAGGAGATTAATAAATCATGAGATTACTGCAAGATTAATAATCCAGTTAGATTAATCAAATAAATAATTCTCTCCACATTTGCTTTACAATGACTATGGAAATATATAATCTCACTTATATATTTGTTTTGTATTCTTAGTCGTATAATTAAAAAATTCATCAATTTTGATAGATAGAATGTCCATTAGATTCTAATTTAGATAACAAAAATTGCAACAAAATAATAAAATGCGAGTCTCATGAATTAATAATCTTAATCATATGTAGAATTCAGCCAATCAAATAACAACTTATTACATAAAGATTATTGATGTTTAGGATTTTTCCTATATTTCGGTACATCTTAAGGGTAAAGGCCTTGAAATGATACTAATTAATTGCTAGCATTATAAACCAAGTCATCTAATGCTATTAAGGTATTGTATTCTCGTTGATAATTTTTGTACAGGGGTTGAATACATAATAACAGACCGTATATTTGAAACATTACCGTCTGATGAGCAGAAGCTTTGGCACTCCCATGCATATGAGGTCTGCACCAACTCCAATTTTTTTCTTCATCTTTTCTTTTTTGAAAAATATATGTTCTAGTTATGCATCTACTTCAGTAAATTATATATATAACATTATTGTCAAGTAATTAATGTGAGTATTGTTGGTTCAGATCAAATCAGGCCTTTGGGTGAATCCTCAGGTCCCAGAGCTGGTTCTAAAGCCTGAACTTGAAAATCTCACCAAAACTTATGGTAAATTTTGGTGCACCTGGCAAGTTGATAGAGGTAAGTGGATAATAAATTTGGGTCTCTCTCTCTCTTAGATGATTTGACTATCAGATTAGCAAGATCGAGTAATGTTATTCAAATAGAAAAATTATACAATGTTTTTGTAAAAAAGTGAGATGGTTGAATTGGAATTTTCACTACAAGAAAATACACTTTTGACGGCTAAATTTTAGTCGCCAAAGGTGCTTCTGTGAAAAAAAAAAAAAAACCAACTTTTTTGCTTTTTCTGAGATTCGAACTGCCAACCTCTCCCACATTCTAAACCTTTAGCAACACAATCTCTCCACTATGCCACTACAACACCACATGAATATATATGCAACATATATGATTTATATACTATATTGACCCGTATTAATATCTAGCTATATATATAAAAATAATTATTTTTATTCAATATAATTTATGTAAAAAATAAATTATTTACTAAAAAAAAAATTAGATCACTTTTGGCGACTAAATCTATTTTTTAGTCGCCAATTGTATAGTTTTGGCTACTAATTATATTTTAGTCGCTAAAAAAATTCATTCCCACTGAAAAACCTCCATTTTTGGTGACTAAACTGAAATTCAGTCGCCAAAACCTCTACTTTTGGCGACTAAACTGCATTTTAGTCGGCAATTCTTGACTTTTAGCTACTAAATTTTTTTAAGTAGCCAAAAAGCTGCACTTTTGGCTACGAAATTGATTTTTGTCGGTAAAACACGTATAATCGGCGACCAAACTATTTTTTAGTCGCCAAAACCTACACTTTTGGCTACTAAATGTTTTTAGTTGCCACAAACCTTCTCTTTTGGCTACTAAAATTTTTTTAGTCGCTAAAACCCCTATATTCGGCAACTAAACTGAGTTTTAGTCGCGAAAACCCCTACATTTGGCTACTAAACTATTTTTTTGGCGACTAATTCCATTTTAGTGGCCAATTCTGCTACTTTCAGAGACGAAAAATCCATTTTTAGTCGTGAAATCTGCTTTTTCTTGTAGTGGTGGCGAATTGGGGTTAGGGTTGAGGGTGGATTGTTTACGAAAACTGGAACGACAAGCACTTCGGAACTTGTTTTGTCCCAAGAGGTAGGTGTTGCCACCAAAAACTATTTCTGTTTATCGATAAACATGTCCAAACAAGGAGAGATGATCTAGTATGTGGTAG